CATTTATGGGGCCCCCGTGATGTACAAGCTCTTCCCACAGAGACGGTGGGAGAGACAATAAGTGAATGACTTCGTATGTTAGAAATTATATGAGCTATAAACAAACAAAGCAGGGGTGGGAGAAACAGGCAGTTGTAGCCAGAGTGGTCAGGTTAGTCCTGTAGGAGCTGGCATTTGAATACAGCCCTGAAGGAGGTGAGGGCTTCCGGTGGATATCTACAGGGAAGAGCATTCCCAGTAAATGGAACAGTCAATGCAAGGCCCTGAGGCAGGGGTGTGTCTGGGATGTCTGTGGAACATCAGGGCAGCTAGAGTGTCTGCAGGGAAGGCAGCGAGGACGAGGGTAGCTGGACATGAGTGAGTGCGCAGAGGTGACAGGGCAGACCCGTGGGGCCTTAAAAACTACTGAATGATGTGGAGCCACAGGAAGCCTCCAAGCACGGGAGGGATGTAACCTGATATGGGTTCCACAGGCTCCCTGCGTGGCTTGTGGACAACAGACACCCTGGGGGCGGGGTGGGGGCAGATTGGCAGGAGGCAAGACAATGGCGGCCAGAGTCAGGGTGAGGGCGGTGGTGCGGGAGAAGTGGGTGGAGTCCACAGGCTTATATATGGGGTTCGAGGCCGGGCTCGGTGGCTCAGGCTGTCATCCCAGAGCTTTGGGAGGCTGAGGTGAGTGGATTGTCTGAGCCCGCGGGTTCGAGACCCACCTGGGCAACTTGGCGAGACCTCATCTCTACAATAAATCAAAAAATCAGCCGGGCGTGGTAGCTACTTGGAAGGCTGAGGTGGAAGGATCGCCCGAGCCCAGCAGGTTGAGGCTGCGATGGCCGCAAGCGGCCACTGCACTCCCGTCTGGGCGACAGAGTGAGACTCCAACTCAAAAAAAAGAAAAGAAAAAAAAAAATATATATATATATATATATATATGGGGTTCGATATGAAGAGAGGAGTCAAGGTCATAAGTCCAAGTTTCTGGCCTGAGCAATTGTTAATGTTTTATTTAGGTCAGCAAATGGCCCTGAGTATCCTGGCTTGGGGTAAGTGGAGGGAGACCAGATTAGAGGCAGGCTCTGTCCCCTCCCTCCCACTCTAGGTCTTGGTTCTTCCTTTAGGATCCCAGTCTGTTCCCACTCCCAGTGGAATGGTCTAGGAACTACGGGAAACCAGGATAGAGTGAGGAAGACATATGATCTGGAATAATGGTTTACCAAAAACAGCAGCAGTAATAACGGTGGAAATAGTCTCAGAGGTTAAAAATCATGGTATTTGGAATTCGACCCTTGAGTCCTGGTACCACCATGAATTCATTCTGACTTATCCTCTTTGACCCCTCGGTTTTCTCCTCTGTAAAATGGGGGTAAGATACTTAGCCCAACAGCACACACAAAATGTGAGTATATGTTAATTGTTATTCTTTACTGAGTACTCCCTATATCTGTTAAGCACTTTTTACATACAGGACTCTAATTAATCCTCACAAACAACTCTAAGAGGTAGGTACTATTTTTATCCCCATTACACAGATGGGAAGCCATCTGGCAGGAACACAGAGCTGGTGAGTAGTGGCATCAAACCCCAACCCTGTCTGCCTGACTCCCAGGGTACAATCAATCTCGCTGGCTCTCTCTCTCAAGTTAGAGTCTCACTCTGTCGCTCAGGCTGGAGTGCAGTGGCATGCTCAGGGCCACTGCAGCCTTGACCTGCCGGGCTCAAGTGATCCTTCCGCCTCAGCCTTCCAAGTAGCTGAAACCACAGGTGTGGGCCACCACACCCGACTCATTGTTTGATTTAGAGAGGAGGTCTCGCCAAGTTACCCAGGTTGGTTTCAAACCCCTCGGCTCAAGCAATCCTCTTGCATCTGCCTCCCCAAATGCTGGGATTACAGGTGGGAGCCACTGCTCGGCGCTCAATCTCTTAATCTCTGTGCTGTATTACACCTGCTCACTCCAAGGCCTAGGGAGGGAGAAGATTGAGGCTCAAAGGACACATCTGTGATGCATGGGAAGGAGAGCCCAGCTCTGGTGAGTGTGTTTGTGAGGGCTAAGCTAAAGTCCCCGGCATAATTCCAACGCTAAGGCGGAAAGGAGGAAGAAAGTTTCTGGATTTGGGGAAGAGTTGGGTAAACAACACTTGGTCTGAGGTGCTTTGAGAACAGAGTACAAGCCAGGCTCGGTGGCTCAGCCTGTAATCCTGCGCTTTGGGAGGCCGAGGTAAGTGAATTGCCTGAGCCCGCGGGTTCGAGGCCCGTCTGGGCAACTTGGCGAAACCTCATCTCTACCATAAATCAAAAAATCAGCCGGGCGTGGTAGCGCATGCCTGTAATTCCGGCTACTCGGAAGGCTGAGGCGGAAGGATCGCCGGAGCCCAGCGGGTCGAGGCTGCGGTGGCCGGGAGCGGCCCCTGCCCTCCAGTCTGGGCGACAGAGTGAGACTCCAACTCAAACAAAAAAAAAGAAAAAGAAAAAGAGAGTGCAAAGTCAGGCGCAGTGACTCACCCCTGTAATCCCAGCACTTTGGGAGGCTGAGGCGAGAGGATTGCCTGAGCCCCATGGTTCGAGACCGGCCTGGGCAACATGGCGAGACCTCGTCTCTACAAGAAATCAAAACATTAGCTGGATGTGGTGGCGCACGCCTGTAGTTCCAGCTACTCGGAAGGCTGAGGCGGAAGGCTCGCCGGAGCCCAGCAGGCCGAGGCCGCGGTGGCCATGAGCGTGCCACTGCACTGCAGCCTGGGTGACAGAGTGGGACTTCAACTCAAAAAAAGATAACAGAGTACAGCTGAGCGAGGCTGCGGAAAAGGATCTCGAAGTTGCCTTTATGTCGCCAAGACGCCGACACCCGCCAGCCTGCCGGGACAGCGGGAAGCCTGAGCACTCTGCAATGCAGAGCCCTAGGGAACGTACCCCGAACCTTGACAGTTCACCCCGGGGCCGGGCGGAGTGGGCGGGCGGGCCTGGGGGCGGGCTCTGCCTCCTTCTGCTCCAATCGGAGTGCCGAAGCTCCTTCGCGGGGAGCGCTGATTGGCCGGCGCCGC